ACAGTGAAGGAGGAGACATCTTTGAATTTGCATATTCATAGATTCTGGATTTTTTAATGAGGTAGAAGGAGTAGATTACTTTGTTTTTAAATTTTTTATGTGGAAATGATCCGTTTTTGCTGAAAAAACACATATCAGGCACACATTATTGTTCCAAGCAGACTTTTTTGTAGACGTCTTAATGATGTCTGGAGGTGATCTTTAAACATTTAGTTAAAATTCTGCTAAAGTCCTCCAAAGATTCCATGTGGTCTCTCAGTGCACCTTCCCTTTGATTTGGTCTCTGCCTCACAGAAGGTATAGCAGCACAGTTCACTTTGGTTTAGTCAGTGAGGAGATGAAGGTCAGGGAGGGGCATAAATCAAACAGAGGGCACTGGCTCCCCTTGACTAGCTGAAAGTGTAATATTTGTCATGATGGTCCAAAATGACTCCCCAGCCCCTGCAGCTGCCACACAGTCAAAGGCTCTTTTGTCCTGTGCAAGCAGCTCGCACAGCGGAGCGATGCACCTTAGAACTTTGTGCATCAGCTCTCATACACCCTCTACGGTTCACCACGAGTCAGATAGGTGCACATCTGTTTCTTCCACGCTGTACTGCACCCGGCAGCTTCTAAAGCGTGAACTCGAGTGCAATTCCTGCCACAGCTCCCTCACTGCAGATACAGTTACAGTTTTGTTGTCATAAAGAGAAGTAGTTTGCACAACTTTGTCTGTGGACCGCATCTTTCCAAAAAAATGTCTTTGTTGTGGCTGCAAACAATCTAGAAGTAGTCAGAGCGTGTTTAAACTCACTGTTTGCTTTATTATGGACAGGCCCTACTCTTACATATGATGTCAGTGCGTGCCAGAGTGTATGTGTTCCTAATCTGCCTTGTGAAGTTTTTAAATCCTCTGCTTCTCTCATCTGATCCTCACAGCTCTCTGCTTTTAATGCAGTGTCAGTGATACTTATCTTTCTACCTGGAGTCTTTCCTGTTTGCTTTAAAGCTTTTTGAAGTCGGAGAATAGACTACATATTGTAGTTTTTGGGTTGATGGCGGCTTAAAACAAAAGAATTACCTGAAATGTCTTCTTTGTAAAAATTCACGATTCATTTCTACTTGCAAGAACATAGTTCACCTGCAAATCCCACACAGCCAGTCCTAATTCTGTCTTTATAGAAGGCAGCAAAAGTGCCAAATACCGACAGGAAAGCTGTTCGTCCGAGACAGCATATCAACTGATGCTAGCATATTGCTGATATTGACTGCCAAACAAAAACAACAAAGAGATGCCTAAAGATAAGTTAGAGATAATTTAGAAAGTTTACTTTTAAACTGCAAAAAAAAATTAAAGAAAAACAATTTTCCCCTGTGTTTATGTAGAAAAATTAATATTGGCTGATGATCAACAATATCAATTTGGTATCGGATCTAAAGAAATCCAGTATGGGTTGGACTATAATACTTGAATTTCTCCATATAATTTTAATTGAAACAACTAAATACACAGAAAATGGATAAATATGGAACAAATATATAAAGCAGTAGAACTGAATGAACCAGTGGGATTGTACGGGATTTGACAATACAGTGCAATACAGACAACAGACAACTCTCATTGTTTCAGCTCATTACAGTAAGTACTCCATTTGCTACATTGTATACTTTCACCAGAATTGGGTTACTGTTAAAGTTGAACAAAAACTTTGAATACTCACTTGAAGAATGAACAGTAGTGATACCGTGGCTATTGTGCACATTTCCCCATTCTTCAAAAGCGATAACACAATATTTAGACATGTTTATGGAAACAGCATCTAGGCGTCAGTCCTCTGGGTGGGGGTTTTTACCATGGCAGCAGTTGACTGTCATCTGTGGGGTGGCGTTGCTAGGAGACGCCCTGACAGCTTCCGTGGTGGGCTACTAACTGGAGCATGCCGTAGTCTTATGGAGCCTATGAATGTAGATTTTTTTTTTCCACTTTTGAACAACCCACCTGTTGCGTTGGTTGGCCATGCAAGCCATTTGTCCTTTTAGAGCATTCAGCACTGTTGTTTAGTTTGTATTCACTCAGAAAGCGGAAGCTAGTTAGCCCAGCTTGCTAACTGACACCCGTTGGATATTACTTGTGTTGTTTTGTTCATCCCACTACAACGGAGTTGGTCTAGCTAGCATTAGCTGTCTCTTTCGGCAAATGACCGCCTATGTGACCATTAAAACTGAAGCCATATAACCTATATATAGTCTGTTTTTAGTGTCCACCCACACAGATGTTGCACCAAAAATGATCAAATATGTACACAATTCAAACAAACACAGGGAATAAATATACCGATCTTTTAGCAAAAGCACATTTTAATTTCAGTTTGACTGTATTTAATAAAGTGACGTTACTTGATTGTTCAATATTTGTATTTTAAAGTCACAGGAACTCTCTTGAGTGTGTACAAATGTTGGACATTTTTTGCCCCATCGTGGTGGTCAATGTTTGAGGTTAGATTACTAAGTAAAAGCTTCAGGCGAGGTCATGCCGATTAGCGTGGTGGTATTAAGCTGCTTACTCAAGACCCCACTGGAGCATCCAGTGTTTCCTTACTCTCTCAATTAAAGTGCGTTAATAACCTGTGGCATGTTCCTAAGTGTTTCACACCCAGCATGCCAGTCGGCCGTCCCACACCCCTTACACACTGACTGGCCGTGGTGGGCGCGGGAAGGTGTGTGCAGCACGGCCCTTTGAAGCATGCATGACCCCCAATTAACCCTCCTGGATTAATCCCCTGCTCTCCAAACTGCTGCTTCTCTTGTCTCATCTCATCACTCCCACAGCGTATATTAAGCAGAGCCCAGTGCCCCGGTGTTTGTCCATGCAAGGTTGACTTTCTCTACTTTTGTTCATTTTGCAGCTGCGGATTGAAGCTGACTTCCTGTGGACGGCTTCATAGAGAGGAAAACCTTTGTGAAAAGCAGGAGAAAGGCCTGTCTGCTCATCTTCCTCATACTGGAAGCTGCAGGATAGTTACAAAATGGCAAGAAGATCCCTCATTCCCCTGTTACTCCTTGCAATATGCTGCCTGGCATCTGCAGGTAAGTTTCTCTCACTGCTTAGCTACTTGTGAAACAAGACTGTTGTTTGTTTGCATCCAGAAAAATAATGAAACTCATATTGGTTGGAGCCGAAAGTTAAACCCACGCAACTCTGCCATCAGTAATACCTGATATTGACATTGCATCGAGCCTCGCAGTGCTGTGTTAGTCAGACAGCCACAACTTTGCCCATGCTCTGGGATTTTCCACTGTTTCTCCCAGCATGCTTTTTCTAGACGGTGCTTGTCAGAGTTGTGCGTAGGGGGGATTTACATTTAAGATAGTGCTGACAAGTTTAATCTCAATACAAACACTCAGCAGGACTACATGTATCTGTCATATTGATTGGAATGAGACTGAGATACTGCCAAATAACCTGCCAAAGTCATTTACAGCCGTTAAACTGGCAAACCTAAGAGAGAGAGGAAGAATAACCAACTCAACTGCTACAGAGGTGGATGCAGGAAATGCATGTGTGCTATCAGTGTGTCATATCAATTAATGGAAAGCTCTAGATAGTGCTGTTTCCTGTCACAACCCACTCCGTATGTGCCTGATGTAATAAGTGAGAAATACTGCACCTCTCAATTTGAGGAATGTGCTTGTTTCTATGATCTTTTTTAGTCTACTACATTTTTGAAAATAGAAACAGTTTCCTAGAGTTCTGAGACTTGTATCTGTAACACCCTACTTACTTTAGTTTGTCACAGTCACCTTTATCTTCTTTATCTTATTGTTTCTGCACATCATCAAGATTGTTCCTGGCTGCAGGAGGCACTTCGTACTCACTGTGCGAAGACGAAGGAAAAATGACTCATGAAATAATTTAATTTAATAATAATCCTCATAAAAATTTCTGTCGGTTTTGTTAGTCTTTTGTTGATTAATACCATTAAGTAGTGATGCAACTCACTTTATTATAGCTTTTAAAATCGCTGCTCCTAACAACAGCTATGGGACTATAAGACATCCTCTGCCACACAAGGAGTCAAGACATAAGTTAGGTTTATGCTCAACAGTAGCCAGTCCCTGGCAGCCACTTTGGCTCTGCTCTGGTTCAGCAACACAAATATTACAAAAATTACAAAAATGATTTTTTTTCCAAACAGAAACAGTCTCAATTGAATACTGATGCCTCTATATGACCTACATAAACAAACCAGAGCATCAGCGAGAAGACTGGCTATTTCTGTATAGTTGTTCTTTATGCCTGTCACCGTACAATTCCCCACAAAAACCCGACCGAGCGATTTACAGCACGCAGACCGGAGAGCCCATGTTTCCATTTTCCCAGTTTTGCAATGTGTTAAAAGGGAGCAGGAGGAGAGTTTTCTTCAGAGAGGTTTATATATGATGTATACTTTTTGTGGTTATGGCTGATATTGGGGAAGGATCAGTGAAGAGGAAAAGGAAAGAACTGACTGAAGAACAAAAAAAGCTAAAAGGGACAGTGAAAGAGCATGGACAAAAACAAGAGTCAGCCTTGGTCGGTCGTTGAACAGGTGGAGAAAATTTCAGGATTCAAAACCAATCCTGAACCAGCCCTCTTTCACCTGGACAGGTATGTAATATGTCTATGCCTTCAGCTGTTAGTTTGCATCTTAGCATACAGTGCAAATGGCTGTGTATGGTCCATGGAGGTATGGCTCATGGTGGACGTAACTGCAATACAACTGTCTTACAAGGTAACATTTTATGTTAGCCTTGCTACCGAGCTATATCTTGCTATTGGCTTATTATTGTAAAGACATAACATTACATGGGAATGTTGATCACTTTAGCTTTCAAAACACAAAATACTGTTACCGAGCAACTAAATCTATTAATTGTAAGCTTACATTAAATACAAAAATATGTTGCTTCTTTCTTAAACTTGCTTCTAAAACACGTGCACACATTAGCCAGATCAAGATCATTACAACACGAGGCGGTGGAAACACTACCGCTGCTGTCCACAGAATCAATACAAAATGGAAGTTCCTTGTAGTAACTTCAAAAATGCAAATCTATTTCTTAACTAATTTAATTTCACCTTCTTTGTTGCCGAACTAAACGTTTCTAGTAAGAAGTTGGGTTGTGGTCATATCTGTACTGGCTAGAAGTCGGGGGAGTTTGAAGTTGTTGTGGAGTTGGCCACTAGATGTAATTAGAGGAACTGTCACTGCTGTAACGTCCACATTGGCTTCAAACTTCAGCAGCGGTTTCAGTCGCTTGGTAACTTGACCAAAATATTCAATTTACTGACCTAAGCCTGACACTCTACCCCACAGTTTGATGAAAAATCTGCTAGTTGGCAACAATCTGACAGACAGCCTAGTGGACATTCTTCTTTTCTGTTTTTTAGATTGTGAGATGTCCTGTTTACAGAGACTGGTTCCACAATGTATGGCTTTGGACCTGAACTTACTCCAGATTTAATCTGCAACATCCCATGTTGTTTTTCCGTGGTAGCAAAGGAATAATTACCCAGCAGGAGGCATGCTACATAGCTAGCACTCCAAAAAAAAGTGTGGTTTGCATTTTTCATGCTTTTGGCCTTATTGCTCCATAGGTTATTATTTCAAAATTTCTCTAGAGGTTTGAACCACACTCCAGAGAGCTGACTTTTAGTCAAACAATAGCAGTGTAGTCAGTATGTGCTGTGGGCAGAGCAAACATCATTTCTCCCACAATGCCAGGATCTCCAACACAATGAAGTCACGTATGAAGTTTTCCTCTAAATTCTTCCTCATACGGCACAGCGCATTGTTGCACTGTGTCACAAGGGACAGATATTTACAGTTAGACAACCAAATGCCCTTTCCTCCAAAGTACACTGCCAGTGAGTTATGGACAAATCTTCAGATGCTATGCAAACAGTTGATATTTGAACAGATAAAATGCAGTCCAATAAACACATTTTTAAGACTAAAACACATTCTTCCATCTCCATTTGGCCAAATTAATGTATTTTTTCACTGTCAGTGGTTAGCTTATCAATTTTATTTCTCTTCATGTTTTTTACACACCGCTACTTCAGCTTATCTTTCACCTTTCTCTCTCTTTTTCTGTCTATTTGTATCATCTCGGAGCATCTGTGTAAACAGTCACATCTGCCCTCTAAACTTGTCAGGACAGCTCTTACGTAATGTTTAGATTAGTCTGCAATGAGTCCTCTCTCAGCGTAATGCAATCCAGGATCTGGGCCTCCCATAACTCTTAAAAGTCAGACTGAGAGCACCTTGACGTCCATATTTCAAGTCTCCACTCTGCTGCTTCACTCTTTTGCTGTTTATAACCTTTTTTTTCCCCCATATTCTTACTACCATTTCGTGGTTGCCTCTCCCCTGCTTGCCAAAACGGTTATTTTGTGAAGGATATATCGTGGACATTTGGGCTGAGTTTGGGTTTCGCTGTGAAATAGAGTCGTGCAGGAACCGTGCCAGATATTAATTTGAGGCACTTGCCAGAAACAGCTCCGGCAGGATGCTGGTTATACTGGAGGCACAACGCCGGCCTGGTGGCTCACTGAAAAACAGCATTATTGATTGAAGGATGGTTTCTCCTAATAGCCTTTCCTGATTTTACTTATAGGGCGGCTTGATGAATGATATTCTATTAATGCGAATCTGTCCTCAGCTATTCATTGTGGAACCACATACTCTTACTATGGGATTGTTAAATAAAACAATAACTGGAAAAAGGAATTGAATTGTGCTCATATTCGCAGCCCATATGCACAGCAAAGTAAACAACTTTCTTTCTGTCTGCATATTTGTATACTCCTGGCAGACAAAAGTCACTGCAAGGCCAAAAGTGGTTGTAATGTTTTTTCCCCCACAGTTGAGCGAAAGGTTCGTCTTTATAGCCACAACGCTTTCTTAGGGCCAACAGAAGGGGTGACTGCCAGAATGCATTGTGCAACCACTGTAATCTGAGAGGTGGGTTAGCCAGGGGGAGGAGAGAGGCAGGCGCAGGCGTGGGTCGTCTGGTCCAAATCGACACACTCCACACACGTACGGCGTGCCAAACCGACAAAGTCCCTTCCAGCACGCTAAACCAGATGTTGCCCTGTGATTCATGCGAGGAGCTGGAGCAGCGCAGCACAGAGGCAGTGTGCTGCTAGGCAGAGTGGTTGGGATGTTTACATAGCAACGGGAGTCCCGTGTGTGTCTAATTACAGGTCTGCTCTCCCCCATGGTGAGGCCTTTATCTTAACAGCGCTGTCAAGGAGGAGGCAGCCATTCTGGCCCTGTCACTCTGTTTATATCTTTTGCTTATTGAATAAAGGTCACCCTTCTACTGATTAACAACAGGGTATAAATTAGATTGTGGAGTACTTTTATTTTGATTTACCTAATCTAACTCTGTCTGTCACTCTTTGTCTTTCACAAGCACTCACACAAGAGAGTGAACCTGAATGAACTATAGCAGACAGGTCTTTACAGATAAATTCATATCTCCGTCCAGGTCCATCATATCTTGTCAGCCTCCCGTTAAGGCTTGCGCAAATCTGCAGGAGTAAACCGAATCCCGCCCCCTTTCCTCTCTCTCTCTCCCTCTCTCCCTCTCCATAGTTCCAGTAAGCAGGCGTGTAAATAATTTCGGTCAAAGCCAGTAATGGGAGACAGCTGGGGTGATGGTGCGTTTTCCATTGTGTTTTCACAACCATTTGAAAAAAAAAAAGCCACTGGAGCTGGGGGGAGTGAGAGTAAGACAGTGTGACTTCATTGAAGACAGAGACGTAACTATAAAAAAAACTAGGACTCTCTCTATCCAGATGACCTTCGGAAGCAGCGAGAAAAAAAAATTCGTGCTATCATTGGTTGAGGTGTAGTTTTTATTTTTTAGCCATAACCAGTGTGAGTTTATCAAAACTCTGGTTGCCCAATCACTTCGCAAAGGTGCCAACTTTTGAGTGCATGAGTCTTTATCTGCAAAAAAAAGTCCTAATATGGGATTCTAGCTGAAGGCTTCCAGGTGGTATCTTTCATCAGACCAGCCCCTCTAGGGGCCTCACC